CCCCCCCGGGCCCAGTCTGGGGGGGGGGGGCAGGGGAGGAAGAGGCATAGCGGGGGCAGGGACCTAGCACAAGCTGGGAATCCATTGATTCCTGGCTTGCACCTGATCTCTTCTCTTCCCCCTCCCTCGCTGCATCTGTGCTTTTTAAACGTTTTAAGAGCTGTCAAGCTCTTAATACATTTAAAAGGCAGAGCTGCAGCAGGGTTAGTTCCTAGGGCCGAAAGCTAGCCCCACTGCGACTCTGCATTTCCCCTCGCCCCATCAGCTAATCGACTAGTGGATGGAAATTCCATCGAGTAGTCAAATCGCTGATTAGATGCCATTTAACATCCCTAATCTGTACACAGTATTCAAGATGTGGGCATATCATGGATTTATAGAGAGGCAATAAGATATTCTCTCTTATTCTCTATCCATTTTCTAATGGTTCTGAATATAGAATCATAGAATAATGGAATTGGAGGGGACCTTGAGAGATTATCAAGGCCAGTCCCCAAGCACGGTCTAGATCAGGGGTGAGCAATAATTTTTAATGGGAAGCCACTCCAAGATTTATGCAAGTGGTCAAGGGCCACATTTCTACCGAGGGAGTTTGGGGTCTAGGATAGAGGTTGGGTGCAGAAGGGAGATTGGGGTAGGAGAAGGTGTGGAGTCTGACTGGGAGCTGGATGAAGGAAGGGGTTGTGATCTGGGGCAGAGGCTTAGGGTGCCGGGTCAGGGAGGGGATATCTGAGGATTCTGGCCTGAGGGAAGGCCTCTAGGATGGGGTACAGGGTCTGAGATGGAGTTGTTACCTGGGGGAGGGGTGCAGAGAGTTTGGGTGGTGGCTTGGGGCAGTAGTTGGGGGACAGAGCGGGGGTGCCAGAGGCTCTAGCTGGGAAGCACTTATCTAGACAGCTCCCAGCCAGCAGCCCTGCATGAACCTGAAGCATGCAGTTGCAAGCTGCTCCACGTGGCTCTGCTCCGACAGGATGAAGAGGGAGGGAAGAAGCTTTATTGCCTCTGGTACTAGCAAAATATCTCGGCTGCTATTGGTCGGAAATTGGCCGATGCTAGCTGAGAGATTTTGCTGAGGGGTGGGACAGAGCACAGCCTCCCTCCCTGCTCTCAGAATAGAGCAGCCACATTCAAAGTGTCGTCTGCTGTGCTGTACTTAGGGTCCCAGCAAGGCAGCCATGGGCTGGATCCAGTGGCTTGGTGGGCCAGATCTGGCAGCTGACGGGCTCTAGCCCACCCCGGTTTAGAACATGCCACTAGTTACCTCTCTCCATTCCAAAAATTTACCCTTTATTCCTACCCTTTGGTTCCTGTCTTTCAACCAGTTACCAGTCCATGAAAGGACCTTCCCTCTTATCCCATGACAACTTACTTTAAGAACCTTTGGTGACGGACTTTCTCAAAGGCTTTCTGGAAGTCTAAGTACACTATCTCCGTTGGATCCCCCTTGTCCACATGTTTGTTTGTCCTCCTCAGAACTCTAAGGCAGGATTTCCCTTTATGGAATCCGTATTGACTTCCCCTAACAAATTATTTTCATCTATGTGTCCAACAATTTTATTCTTTACTGTAGTTTCAGCTAATTTGCCTGGTACTGATGATAGACTTACCTCTAGAGCCATTTTTAAATATTGGCATCAAGTTAGCTGTCTTCCAGTCATTAGGGACAGAAGCTGATTTAAGGAGTAGGTTACAAACCACAGTTAATAGTTCTGCAATTTCACATTTGAGTTTTCAGAACTCTTGGGTGAATGCCATCTGGTCCCAGTGACTTGTTACTGGTAAGTTTCTGTTTGTTCCAAAGCCACCTCTAATGACACCTGTCTGGGACAATTCCTCAGATTTCTTTCCTACAAAGAACAGCTCAGGTTTGGGAATCTCCTTATCAGCTATGAAGACCAAAGCAAAGAATGTATTTAGTTTCTCCAGAATGACCTTATCGTCTTTGAGTGCTTCTTTGATATCCTGATCCCCCAGTGGCCCCACTGGTTGTTTGGCAGGCTTTCTGCTTCTGAGGTATTTAAAAACATTTTGCTATTACTTTTTGAGTTTTTAGCCAGCTGTTCTTCAGACTCCCTTTTGGCTTTCCTCGTTATATGTTTACACTTAGTTTGACAGTTTATGCTCCTTTCTCTTTTCTTTACTAGCATTTCACTTCCACTTTTCAAACAATGCCTTTTTATCTCTCTGCTTCTTTTACTTGGTGGCTAAGCCCCAACAGCACTTGTGGTTCTCTTACTGTGGTTTTTAATTTGGGGATACATTGAAGTTGGGCCTCTATTATGGTGTCTTTGGAAAGTTTTCATGCAGCTTGCAGGGATTTGACTTTTGCCCCTGTACCTTTTAATTTGTTTGTCTAACCTCCTCATATTTGTGTAGTTCTGAAATTAAATGCCACAGTGTCAGGCTGCTGAGGGGCTTTTCCCATCACAGGGGTGTTACATTTTATTACATTATGGTTGCTATTTCCTAGTGGCCCACTTACATTTACCTCTTAGATCTGATCCTGCGCTCCATTTAGGACTAAATCAAGAACAGCTTCTCCCTTTGTGGGTTCCAGAACCAGCTGCTCCAGGAATTGTTGTAAACGATGCTTCTGTGCAGTGGTTCAGCTTTTTCCCCGAGTAACCTTGGGGAGAACACTGAAGTGTTGCTGCTTGGTAGGATTGTGTGTGGGGAGGGTGTGGATGCCCCATCGGCTGATCATGATGTAGGGCTGGGAGCACGTTGGTGCGGGAATGGCTGTGAGTACGAGGAAGGAGGGATGACCCTTGTGTTCTCTACCACCTTGATTTTTTTCCCTTTCCCCCCAACTTGTGGGGCTAATGTTTAGCCTGTTTGGAAACTTGTCCACAGCCCTCTAGTGAAGTGAGTGTCCTAGGAGCTTCCCCCCGAAAGCCCCACATTCTCATTCTGCTTGCCCTCACTCTTGGATTTGGTTCCATCTTGCTGCTGCTCATCGGCTGAGTGCTCCGGGTAGAGGCCTCGCACAGAGATGATCCATAGGTAGTCCTGCAGAGGTGTTGAGCTGGCTGTGTCTCTTCTCTGCACAGGGAGACCCCCATCGGAGCAGAGTAGAATCTGCACTAGTGCCCTTGCTGACCATGGAACAACTTGCTTGATTGCCAAGCTGTCTGGTCTGGAACTCAGTGCCTCTGCAGCCAAGGTGCTCACACTGGATGCTGTGGTTCTGAGCTTAGCTGCTCCTCCTTTTGCAGAGCCAGGGAGCCACAGTTGCTGTTTGAGTCCAATGCTAGGTCTCCTAAGTGAGTGTGAGAGTTACGAAACCGGGTGGAGAAACTTTCCAGTGGCCCTGCTCATTGTGGATAGCTGTGCCTTCCTCCAGCAGCCTGGGGCCCAGCTGGTGAGGTTTGCTACATTTAAACATCTGTGACTCTCTTCCAGTGGCACCGGACACCATCAATAACCATGTGAAGACATGTCGTGAGGAGCAGAAGAACCTGCACTTCTTTGCCCCAGAGTATGGAGGTACAGTAAAGCAGCACAGTGCCAGCAGGCCTCAGGTGTGGTCTGGCTGCATTGTGTTTTGCTGGTAGGCTGGTCTGTGGGTGGCTATTTCCTGCATATCTTGGGAGAAGATGCAGCTAAGCGTAGCTATTGCTGTTTCCCCCTAGACTGTGTGGCCCTGATCTGGAGCCATTGGGATCCCTTGTCCCTGGAACAGCGGTGGGGAGGGGAGGTTGCAGGATCTCAGTGTCTGCTGTGGGGACTCCCAGTGCTATAAGGTGTAGTGGTGAAGGTGGCGGTGGCGGCGGGGAGGTTGCAGGATCTCAGTGTCTGCTGTGGGGACTCCCAGTGCTATAAGGTGTTGAATTGACTGTGGAGCCTTGTTCCTTTGTTACAGAAGTTGCCAATGTCACTACTGCCGTGGACATCTACTCCTTTGGCATGTGTGCACTGGAGGTGAGTGGGAAGGTGGAGGGCTGGGGACGTGCTCTGGGTGTGGCGAGGGATGTCGAAGTGAAACAAGAATCCTTTCTGTTGAAGTTACTCAGTTTCCCAGTCCCTCAGTAACAGAGTGACTATTTCTGACCAAGTTCCATGCTCTCCGCCCACCCCTCCCTCCTTGCCTCCTAGCACTAACATGCTAGACAAGGCTTTGGGCTGGCTGGTCCCTCTCCATTAGTATCTGTCTTCTGTGCTGGTCATCTTTGAGTGGCACTTCCTGCTCCAAATGTAAGAAGTGACTTGAGGAACTTACTGCTGCAAGATACTGAGGCCAGGAGTTTAGTAGGGGTCAAAGGAGGAAGGGACGTTTATATGGAGAATCTGAACAACCACTGGTTTGATAAGAAATACAAAGCTTACTGCTTCAGGGCATAAACCAGCTGCCTGAGACCAGACAGAATTGGCTCTGTCACTTATCCTCTAACAGCCCCTTTGTGGTGGCTTTCCCCTCACTCTGAAGCAGCTGATGCTGGTTACTCTTGGTGTCAGGAGATGGGGGTAGATGGACCCCCTGCTCTGCTTTGGCCTGTCCATTCCTATGCCCTTGAGTTAACCGGGTCTGAGCCAG